TATCAATCCATATCAATTTAATATCATTGTGCACTGTGTGTGTGTGTGTGCACGGATGTTTATGTGTGTCCATTTGTGCATGTGTGCATACACTGTATTCCTGAACTTGCGTCTGTGTGTATGCAAGTATGAGAGCGGGCTTAATTTAGCAGGTGTGCTTTGACAGTTCTTGAATGAGTGCCAAGTCTGCTGTACGAAGGGTAAGAAAGAGGAGGTGCTCAATGTGCATCTGTGTGGAGCTCGACTGTGACAGATGGGGACGGTTTAACTTATAGAGTTCTGTTAAGATCTGGAGGTTTTTCTGAAGCTGTCTGTGCCAAACAGGTGCACAGTCTAAAAACACCACAGAGAGAGAAGGTGAACAAGTCTCCACTGACTTATTTGTCTGGTAGTGGTGTTTCCACTGATAGGGGGAGTTTTCCAGTGCATATTGTGTTTTGTTTTGTTTTGTTTTCTTCTTTATGTGGGTCCAAATTCGTTGCAGTAATTGCTTTCTGAAGAGACACTACCCTTGAGTGTTCTCATTCATCCCTGTGTTACTGTGGGCAAATGGAAACAAATACAACCTATTGTCACATCAATATTCTTTGGTGAAGTCTTGCATGAATTGTTGAAGCTCACAAGGACGCTAGTTAAGAAAAGCTTTAGTATCAAACGCTCTTAAACTTCAATGTCTGATTTATCAGTGAAACTGTCAGTTCTGTTTTGCACCACCCAAACAAAAACAGAAACAGCATCATTTCTTCATATAGTCCTATTCAAGTGAACAACAAAAGAATTCCATATGTTTCTGAGATCATTCAAATGATCAAGAGATGACTTTATCAACTGGATTTGGTTCATTAAAACAGTTGTTTCTGCTGTTATAAAAAAAGTGAGTCATCACAGTAATAGGAGGCCCTGTTAGTTTCAAGGTTACTCAGGCCATTTCATAATTTCTACAGTTAACGTTTCTACAGCCTGCAAATGTGTACAGTCAAAGAAAATATGCAAGCAATCCCTTCAACTCCTTTAGAAGCAAAAGAATTAGATGTTGTACAACTCTGGAGTATGCGTTGGCTTTAAGGACGGCTGTGGCTGAGTTGAAAAGTTCAGCCAGTTAGTGGTGGCCAGGTGTCTCACAGGCAGGCAAGACGCTTCACCATATGGCTGCTTCTCACCACCAGACGCCAGCCGTCCCAACCACTGACTTTCACATACTTTACTTTTGCTGCACAAGGTGGAAAGTTGCTTCTGCTCTAGACCCTGACCAGCGTGGTGAAAGAATTCTTTATGTGTTTACAAGTCATAAAGGAGAGAAACTTGCTCCATCACTGTAAGGCAGTTGTACTGGTGGGACAATAAGACAATTAATAACCTGGTTAGTAAACAAGAGAGACAGATTTTATGCATTTCCTCTGGATCTCTGATATACCAACAAAGTTGCAGATTATTTTGCTTCTCTCCTGCATGCTGATTGGAGTTTTAAAGATGTAATGAAGTCCTGGTGTGTCCTCCTGCTGGGTTTGTATTTGGCGAGGGGTGCCTGTGTGTCGCTGATAGAGGGATCTCTCTGACACGGCTGCTCTGGCCCGCTGCATCTGGGAGCCAGTAGCGGCAGCCGCTGGGGGGAGATAAGGCAAGGCTAGCCGCTCGCCTGTAACGCACATTTTGCCCCCCTGTGCCCTGCTCTCCTCTCCTCCCCTGCTCCTCCCCCCACCCATCCTCCCTCCCCGTCATCCCCCTGACCTTATCTCAGGGGAGAAGGCACCACTGGGTCGCTACTGTGATAGCACCTGCCAGAACCAGAGCTGGCCTCTGGTGATTATGGAGGAATCATTATCTCTCTCTCCCCAAAAACTCATTTTATACCTGCCAACATCTGAGGGGAGGGGGGCAAAAGGAGCAAAGGCTTCTATAACAGGTAACACAGAGAAAATTGTGTGTGTGTGTGTGTGTGTCTGTGTGTGTGTGTGTGTTCGCATGTGTATCAAGAGAGCAGGCTGTGGTATGTAGGCAAAAATACCTGCACCAAATCATCTTGCCTTTTTGCCATGTAGGCTTTGAATGTGATGTAAATGTGATAAGATAATGATTCTACATGATAATGGTTGATCATCTGTTTTCAGCATGTTACTGCTTTATGATTATGTACATATAACCTCCCATATGGTCATAAGGGTGATGCTGTATCGCCATAAACTATATTCCCATGTAAATTTAAGGAGGGTTATTGAACTCTTATGAGATCCTCTGCTTGGTGACATGTTGGATAAAAGAGAGAGAACTTTTAATTTGTAATTTTTATTTTCTATATACTGTAGCTTAGCATGCATTTCCGTCTCTTCATTTACAAATCTGTTGCTTTTACTCCATTCTCTGCTCGCTTTAATGAATTTGGCTACACCTCTTTGCCGATTCTGTCGACATTTTTTTTCCTCTTCCCACAATTATCTAATCAGTTTAAAACTGTATAGAGACAAGTCCTCATTGGCTTGCCTCATCCAATCAAGTGATGTTACAACTTTCTGTCTTTTATGCAAGAGTCACTGTGCCTGTGATGAATATCCCCTCTCCACCTGATACGTTCTCACAGGAGTTCATTTCCTGCTAAGGTTTTCATTTTCATTTTACTGGTTACTGTAGTTACGAGGCTCTTCCACTTAACTCTAGTACATGCCTAAATCTGGGAATGCAAATCCTAAATGAAATGTAATCTGTACTGTGATAACATTTGAATGTTTTATGCATGAACACTTGTAAATGTGGGAAATCCCAATTGTTTAGCTGCAAAAAAAAAAAACACCTAACTAGATTTCATGTACTTTATACACTGCGGGTTTATAGAGAAATCTCTCTCTCTCTCTCTCTCTCTCTCTCTCCTGCTCTCTCTCTCTCGCTCTCTCCCGCTCTCTCTCTCCCCGTCCCCCACACCCAGAGACAGAGAAAGCAACATGAGTTTCTCTCACTTCCTCTCTGCTGATGACCATCTGTGTGTTGGTTTCAGCCAGGCACTTGGCACATCTGTGTACTCACATCCCCTCTCACTTCTCTCATCAGCACACTTCTTGCGCCAACAAAAATATGTGGTGTGGTTGTGTGTGCGTGTGTGTGTGTGTGTGTGTGTGTGTGTGTGTGTGTGTGTGTGTAGCAGTGAGGAGTATTGCTATCACATATACACAGGCCATTCGGTCTGGTTTAGGGGTTAATGAGTCCTGGGGGGGGTCAGAAGTCAAGGAGGTGATGGTGACAATGTTGCTCACATCAGAGCCACTTTCAGCTGTCCCAACTTTGTAAAGTTTATTTTAGCATCTTTGATTCCAAATGTGTGACAGCAATGTTTCAGCATATGTTTTTTTTTTTTTTTTTCACCGTGAACAGGCGTGGCCCTGCATGCTCTATTTATAGGTGATTGCTTACTTTAACCCACATGATGATGTGTGTGTGTGGTGAGGGGTTGAAGGAAAATCTAAGTGTCTTTTTCTTTGTGGCATCTATGAAAAGATACCTCATAGATAAGGTTGCTGTACATTTTATATCTTAAAAAAAATTTAAACAGGTTACAACACACAGGTTTTTAAAATAATAATTAAGTGACTGATGTATGTGTCCAAGTTTCAAAGAAACTGGCCCCTAATTCTTATCTACCTCATCAAAAGTACTTTCAAGGGAAAATCCTTTGTTTATGTGGTAGAGGAATTAGACGTAAACATGGAGGTGGTGAGAGGAGCTGCCCACATCAACCCACCACACAATTCTGTGGAACAAAACAAAATACTGCTGTAAGTTTCTGGTGAAAAGGTCACTGGAAATCATATTTGAATGTAAACATTTTTTTTTTTTTTAATTTTTTCAATTCTCAGGTCTCTCTTGAAAAAGAGGATTTAATCTCAATGAGACTACCTGACTAAATAAAGAAAAAATTAATTCATTTAACAAAATTAATTGCAGGAACGAGATTTGTTTTAATGTGACTATGTTTTTACAGTGTTTTCACTGCACAGCCCAGGGAGAACTCTTTTAGCTTGTTGCTTTGAATTTCCTTCTTGCATACAGTCTGAAAGGTTGACTCTCATGGCTCTCATTGTTCACACCATATAAAACACCAAGTTGCTGTTTCCAGTAGACAAGCTCTCAAAAAGCTATCTGTCCAACACCAAAATGGCTGAGATATATGTATCTTTCTCTGTAGATGGAGGATCGAACCATGGCCAAAAGGGCAGTGAATACTGGACTTAGATTTGTCAGGTGACCATAGGTACCAATGGAAACAATGCAAAGAAGATCCACAACCATCCTCCAGCCATGATGGAATTACTGTCATCAACTTTTGCATAGAATTAACCTGTCATTTATTATCCTCATTCATTATTGTACTCATCATCATTTAACCACGACAATGCCCATGTCTGGGGTCATCGTGTACACAAAAAAATGCCAAAGGAAGGAAAGAGAAAATAAAACAGAGAGATGCATGCTAGCGAAAAAGGAGCTGATTAAAGAATACAGGACAACATGGGAGAAAAAGCATCAGGTTAGAGTAATCAGTTTGATAATAGAAAAGAGAACTTGTCTACACAAACTCTAAGAATGATCAGATAGATGCACGAAAGGGATGAGTTATTGGATATGGAACAAAAGACAGTGTTCAAGGTGTACAGAAGCAAAGGATCTTGGGAAGGAGGGAAGGGGGGGGGGGTCTCAGGATGAAGGCTGCAAGCAGGGAAGGAGTGGCTGCTGGCCGCAGACACAGCTGGTTCCTGACAGAGGAGGCCCAGGTCCTGCTGCCTGCTGCTATCACCACAGCCAAAGCTGCTGCCTTGCCTCCCCAGGGGCTGCAGCCATGCAACATGCTGAAACACACACAAACGGCAACATACAAACACACACTTCTCTTTTGAGCTGCAGTGGCAGGCAGGGCAGGAGGAGGGTTCAGAAGAGAGCACAGCCCCTCAGCCAGAGCCACAAGGCAAGCTGACCTGCCGCTGACACACACTCACTCACACACACACACACACACATACACACACACACACACACACACATGCCCTGGGTTGCCTCATACACACGCTGGAAAGGAGTTAAGAGAGATCGAGAGAGGAACGAAAAGAAGAGAGAAACGGAGATATACAAGCAACGTGCCAAGTTCACTGCAAACCAGACTTGTGACTGAAGACGAGGACTGTGGGTATTAATCTAAAACTATCATGCATTTCCGTAACACAAAGCTACATGCAGATGTGAAACAAAGACAAAATACCGGCGGAATCCAGGAATAATACAAGAAGTATCAAAGTTTTCGATGAGGACATGAAAGGAAAAAGTGGAAGCAAACTCTGGCTGTTTCTGACTTGTCGCTGTTTGGAGCTTTAACTGCAGCTCAGTCCCTGTCCTTGCGTGGCAGTTCAGCGGGACGTATAATGATCTACTGGGGTCTCAAAGGCAAAGTGCATGAGAAGTATGAGGATAAACATGGAAGGCCTCAAGCACACTTTATGACAGAGAACATTTAGCAGGAAAACTTCCTAGATATTTGGAGCTAGTAGCGATTTTTGGAGTTAACTGCCTGCCAACTGTTTCTGCTACCACACTTGGATTTACAGGCTGTCAGTGTGCACCAGAGTGCTCCACGGTAACACCGTGTGTCACTTAAACTCCAAGCCCCCCTCCCCTCAAGAAGAAAGTGTTGAGATCTCAGCAGTGGTGACTCGAAGGTACGAACATGTCTGCTGAGGTCCATTTGGAGCGTCTGAAGAAGGCCGACCTGAGAGGTGGGACTTCTTCTGCTTCAGCGTTTGCTCCACGTGTGCCCACGGTCACACTGATCAACCACCGAGAGCTGAAGGATAAACACGTTGCCCACAGACCCCAGCCTGGGAGCATTGATCGCAACCTGGCAACCAGCAGCCACTACAGATGTAGCGAAGGTAGGAGCTTGTCATCCCAAAGGACCTGTTTTATGAAATCTTTCGGCAGAGCGTTACCGTGATGAGTGATGGAGGGTCCCGCAGCTGTCAGGTCTGCTCATTAAGTTGGAGTGATTGACGGATAATCAGTTTGTGTTGACTTAGCGCCGCATGCTATGGGGGCAATGTGAGGTTTCTTCATCTTGCTAGCAGACCTGTTATTTGATGACGGAAGCGAGGGGTTTCAAGGTTAGAATGACATCAAACATTACCATCTAAATAATGTTTCCTCTCCAGAATTATTACATGCAACGGTTATCTATAGGCTTGTTTCCCAGGGGCACTGATTGAATATTTTTGCCTTGTGTATTAAACAGGCTCACTTTAGAGACCAAACTGAATCATTATGTCAGGATTAAATTGGCCACCAAGTACAATTTTTCTCAACAGCATCCCCTTATTATCATGTGTTATGGTTCTCATATAAGCTGTCAAGCACAAATAAACTTGTCATTGTTGTTAACAAGCCCAGTGGAGCACATTTATCCTGTGGCACTGTAAGGGAAAGGGAAAGAGGTTTTTAGAGCATTGGGTGGGTGGGGAGAGGAGGGGAGGGGAGGGGAAGGGGGTTCTTCCTCTGGGCTTCCCCAAACAGCTGCGGGGAACAGAACTATAAGTTCTGCAATTTCACTGTTCAGCCTCAGCAGCTTCATAATACACATGGAGGTCATGAGGGTGCATCGCAGTGAATGACAGAGGGAAAACTTTAAAAGGAGCATTTTGCAGACAGATGAGGGATACTTGAAAGACATCCAGGAAAAAAAAGGGAAGAGAAGAAAAAATGTAATTGATTCTTAAAGCACTGAAAACACTGAAGTATTGCCTTTAGCTAAAAATGAAAACCTTCACTTAAATCAGCAAAGTGTTTGAGGAGAGAGAGATGCATTAAGAATCAGACATTAAAGGCCTAATTTTATAGACTCTAAATATGTAGAAACTGTAAGCCAGAGCGAGGACTAATACCCAACGTAGTGAATTACCTGCAGCGACTACCGTCTCTTGGCAGTAATGAGCTTTGTGAACGTCGCAGTGATAAGGCCTCTATAATTAGGCTTAGTCATAAGCATCCCCCCTGTAATTCTGTGATAAAAACCCAGTAGAACTCTGGTGTCGGTGCTCCAACCCATTCGTCTCGCACACACACACACACACACACACACACACACACACACACACACACACACACACACACACATGCATATGCTGAGGAAATCAAAATGTGTCAGTGTGAAATGTAAACACTGCTCTTTGTTTCAAGTAGTTCACCTGATGTGGCTGTATATGTGTATGTGTATGTGTGTGTGTGTGTGTGTGTGTGTGTGTGTGAGGGGGTGGGGGGTGGATATAGTCCACCAATATGTTCAGACTGTATGGAGAAGCAATAGTTATGTGTGTGTTCGTGCGTGTGCGTGTGTGTGTGTGTGTGTGTGTGTGAGGTGTTGTGAGCTGCAGCATAGGCTTCCTGTGAGGGAGCAGATGTCGCAGAGCTCAGGCACAGCTGCGACGGGCGATAACCACGGTGGCAAGAATATGTCGGCACGCTGGCTCTTCTCCCTGGGTCTTATCAGCCGCACACAGAATACACACACACACACACATGCACGCGCGCACGCACACTCATACACTCTACAGTAAGGAACTGCCACCCAGCACTAGCACACCCTCACAGCAGGCCCAGATAGAGGGAGGAAGGCAATGAGAGAGATGGAGAGAGGAAGAAAAGGAGCAAGGACTAAATCAAGGGACTTTGATGGAAAAGGTGCAGTGAATCCTTAACAAAGCCTTGGCTCATGTCTGCTGTATCATAGACTTCATAATTTTGTGCCAATCCTAATCCTCTATAGCTATGAATAGGCTATTCTTTACGGCTTTCTCTCACAAAAAGAGGCATATCACCAGTAATAACTTTTATAGAACTACATAAGGACATAACTTTGTCACTTTACCTATCTTGATGATATTTTGTCAGATTGTAGTATCTCACAAAGTATCACCAAGATAGGTAAATTCTAAAATCTGATGTATTTTGGGATTTTGGGGTTGAAATAGCCAACACATTTACTGTAGTTTAGTTTTTCCCCTCCTTATACAAAAATGTTTTGTCTGGACTTTTACCATGTCACCACATCTCAGCAGTTTTCATGAACAATGTCATCGCCGTCAGAATGAGAGTAGAGAACTTAGACACATTTTGTAACCTTACTGCATATATGAAAATGTGATGTCCACTTTTTCACTTTGCTTTCACATGGCTTTCATCACTGCATCTCTGGCGCAGATACAAGCAAGTTAATGTGACACAGAGATCATCAACGATGTGAGAAAAGATGGATGATGATGATGATGATGATGATGATGATGCAAGAAGAGAGTTTTTCTCTTCTCTTCTTTCTCTGAATAAATAGTAAATGGAAAAAAAGTGAGGGGCATGTGTGGGAGGAGAGGCAAGGTGCTGATGAGACACACACTTATGTGTGAGGGAGAGGGGGAGAGAGGCAGAGATAGAGAGAGAGAGAAAGAGAGAGAGCAGTTATCCTCTCTATTTCCTCAGCACCAGCTTTGCGGTTTCTATGAGGAACAGATGTTCACAACTTGATACAGTGCCTCATCCCCCTCTACTCACTATCTCCAATGCCAGCACCACCAACTGTCTGCAAACACACAAACACACTCTGTCTCTCTCTCTCACACACACACACACACACACACACACACACACACACACACACACACACACACACATGCGCGCATCTTTTGGGAAACACAGTCATACAGAGCAGTGACTTTCTCATGTGAATGTATGGGGACGTATTCACCTGTGTACTGCCGACTTTTTACGTGCCGTTTCCCTCTGTGCTCAAGCTGCATATCCTGTTCTTGAGTCATTACTTGATGTAATCAGGTGCCTCACTTCCTCCTTTGTCACTTTGCACTTCTGTTGGTCAGCTGTGACACTGTGCTCAGTGCTCTTACTCAGTCTGGCAGTCTGGCTAAAGAAAACACAGATAGTTGAACTTACTGTAACGGCATGTATGGATATAGAAGTTAAAGTCCACACATTCGCACATGAGTCATCCTAAAACCCTCCTGCAAATGAATATAACCAGTCTTATCAAAGTGTCTCATTCTTCATTATCTACACTCACCAAGTACCTCATTAAGACCATCACACTAACACTGGGTAGGGGCTCAATTTGCTCTCTAAACAGCTTCAGTTTTTTCATGGCATGGATTTCACAAGATGTTGGAAACATGCCTCCGAGATTCTGCTCCATGTTAACATGATTACATCACATCATTTATCATAATTGAGAGCTTCTACCACATCCCAAAGGCATTCTACTGGATTCAGATCTAGAGGCCACTGAAGTTCATCAAACTCACTTCATGTTCATGAAACCAGGTTGAGGCGACTTTTGCATTATCAGGCTGGAAGTAGCCATTAGAAGATGGCCACGTTCAAACGATGATTGATTGGTATTAAGGGGCCCAAAGTGTGCCAAGAAAACATCCCCCACACAATTACACCACCAACACCAGCCTGGACTGTTGCCACAAGGCAGGTTGGATCCATGGATTCATGCTGTTGATGCAAAATTCAGACCCAACCATTTGTTTTGCTTGGCTCAGAGGTTAAAACCCTTATGCATATGAAAGATTAAAGACAAGTGAACTGTGATTTAGGTAGTGCAATGTGTCTTACTTTAGTATTTGTAAAAAAAAAAAAAAAAAAAAAACCCAAATAAACTAAATTTAAAAAAAACAGAATAGCACTTGGAATGGAATAAAAGATTGGAACAGCTATTGTGTTTTGCTTTTGTTAGAGCTATTCTGTGGCTGAAACAACCCTAGAAGTCAAGTATTTCAAAGGACATTATTCTTTCCGAAGAGCATGGATTGAATTTTGAATTCCCATCATGTCTGGATGATTCAAACAACTGACACTTTGCTGCTCGATTGCAAACAAAATGTCAGGGGGTCTATGGGTGCAATTTGTAAAAGCAGCATTCCAGCATACGTGCTTGAGTGGGTGGGTCAATGATCCGTTACACCACGCTGTATTACAGAAAGTCTCTCTCTCTCTCTCTCTCTCTCTCTCTCTGTCTCTCTCTCTCTCGCTGTCTCATCCTCTTTCGTAACACTATGGAGCAGCTTGAGGACATAACACACATTAAAGATGTTAACATACAAAGTGAGACAACAACATCCTCTTAAGCACACTATCAGAGAAAACAGTGTTTAAATTACAAAACTCATATTCAGGGAGGATGCATGTGACTCAAATGGAAATTTCCCAATCAGTTCTATCAGTGCTTCAATCAGCATAACACAACTCACTTACTTTTTTTTCTCAGTTTTGATCAAGTGATATATTCTGTTTCCCCTTTTATGACTATATTGGTGTCTTTAATGGCAACACCATGAGTATTGTCTGTTGAATGTGCATGAGAGAGGAGAGGATAGGAGAAGAGAGAAGAGCGCAGGAACACAATGGGTCTAGCGTTCCTTTCAGTCGGCTCAGGACCTTATCTCCTTTCAACACACTAGCCTGTGACTGCCACTATAGGAAAGGATTTACAATGTGTGTGTGTGTGTGTGTGTGTGTGCGTGTGTGTGTGTTGAGGAAATGCTGCAAACTTCTGTTTCTCTCTTGCCTTTACCCTGACATGCACACACACACACACACACATGCACACACAGACACACACACACACTCACACAGAAATAGTCATTTCCATAGCAGCACAATGAACAAACCTAGTTCTTGTACCTCAGAGAGTGCTCAACCATCCAGGAGATGCTGTCAACATAATAGAGTCCAGAGCAGGGGGTGGTGGGGTGTGTGTGTTTGTGAGCTGACAGAGGAGATAGAAGGGAGAGAGAAAGAGGAGACAAAGCGGTTTTCGTCATTAATGCCATCAAAGGGGTTTCCAGTCGCAAGTATTATGGAGAGTTCATCG